CGATCATGTTACAACAAACATAGTGTGATTTCGTGTCCGAATGAAGATTTTGTCATCTGGAGTTTTTGGATGGAATCTTGACATCCGATGGCCTGAATTTATAGAAGCTTTGACGCCTTCGTGTATGAAATCCAACCATTCATCATATTCGAGGTTCGATCCAGAGATAGCCACTAACCTCACACACATAACGAGGTGTGCTGCTGCTGAATTTTCTACGACTTCCTTCACGGATCAACTATTTTCATTTAGTTTGTCTCTCTGCTCGGGCGTCATCACGGGGCATACCACATATCGAATTGCTCGCCTTGATGAGACGAACACGCTCACCAAATTTGGGAGCGATTTGACTATTTACGAGTGAGATATAGACCCTAAAAGTGACTGCCCGTGACTGCAAAAACAGGCACCTTTAATGGTGTTTTGATGCAGTGAGGCCACACGGGAATAGTGTACGGCCTATCCATTTTCGATATTTTACCCATAACTTTGTCTTGGTGTGCCTGATTAAGCCGAAACTTGGCCCATAGGGATTTTCGATCGTGGTAGTGGTCCCATAGTTGTTTGACGCACCAAAAGTAGGACTCTAGTTACAGGGTCCATCTCAGGCTTCTAGAGACCAATTTCGCTGAAATTGTTTCTTTGTGTTCACAGCCTTAGACATGTCTGATCGCAATGAGACTTGGTAGGTGGTCTTTTGAAGTTTGGATGAAGATGTTGACCAATTCTGGGGGCCTTATGAGATTGACAGGATTGTCCACTGTTTTGTAGGCTTTATTGACCTGCTTCCTATCAGGGACCAAGGTGTTAAAAAATATGTTCAAGCAGAGACTACTGTTGAGCCTGGGATAGGTTATACCATCTCTGGGTAGCTTGAGACTGCCATTGAGACTAAGATAGCTTAAGCTATCTCTGGCAAATTTATGACTGTTGTTGAGACTGATATAGGCTAAGCCATCTTTGGGCAGCTTGACACTTCCATTGAGATTGAAATGGGTTAAGCCATCTTTGGGTAGGTTGATACTGTCTCTTCGAGAATCTTCTTCGAATTTCAAAATCCACGGACTAAACTTTGCTTGAAATATAGTAAAATAGGGTACACTTTGAACAATGTTATTAAGAACCATACTCATTCTTGATCCTCTATGATCATCCATCGTATGTTTGCTGCATTTCTTCAAGTGATCATTCTTAGTCATGCACTGGGACTAAACAATTATACCTTTCAAGGGAAAAGTATGGGCCATTAGCAACTTGATCTTTGTTAAGTATTGATCTAAATGTATCTAGCCTCATTTAAGATAAAAGTACACCCAACAGGCTCTTGTTCCATCATGACTTCATTTGGATCTTACCCCAGTATGGTTTCATTTAGCTCTTGCCCCATTGTGAAAGGTGACCGATCTCGGGCCCTTTCCTTTTGCTCTCTCATAATGTGAAACCATTTCAAGTACTGAGTCGAAAGAGAAAGGTCGAATGCTTTTACTAAAGTAAAGTTTATACTCAAGGAACGTGTTCTCTGTGGCGATACTGATCTTGAAGTCTTCAGAAAGAGTGCAATCAATGACTTTGGATGTAGTATCTCTAAATCTTTGGACAAAGTTCATAAACAATTTCTTAGGATTGTGTCTGGTGGAGACCAATTCCCCAAGAATCATTAGTCTCTTTTTGGTCCCACCAAAGTGCTTAACAAAATGTTGAAACAATTCATCGGGAGTTTGATTTGGGTATTTAGTAATCACCTCTCGGAACCACATTAAAGTTTGACAAGAGAGAATATACTGAAACATGGCCTTGAGACTGTGCGGTTTCTCTTCAAGTGCAAGAACAATGAAAAAATAAGCGATGATGTCATTTTCATTATCACCTTTCCATTGAACTTGTTTTCGATCTGAGGGAAATTGAAACCCAAAAAAGGGTTTCAACATCCTCAAGAATATTCTTGATGTAAGATTATGGAGGGAGTATATTTGCAACTCTGATATTAGCCCTGGTCTCTTTAAATATGGATAATTCGTCTTTCAATTGGGTAAACTCAACTGACATAGGGGTTTTAACCTCAGAGGTATGTTGGTGTTCCAGAACTAATGGCATAATTTGTAGTGCAGGAGATGCAGTTGATATGGGTTGCATCGGACTAAGGGTAGACTGGATCAGCTAGATGGCTGGGGTCCCGTTAGGTGTCAACACTAGCAAAGAGGCCTAAGCCAGGTGATTCAGATAGTTTCTATCTCTAAAATTTTAATATACTCTCTATAAAACTTAAAATTTGAGATAATTTCTCTCTTGAAAAGTTTTGAGATATTTCTCTTTAAAAAATTTTAAGTAGTTCCTCTTTCAAAAATTTAGTATAGATTCTCTTTCTAAAATTTTAAGATACTTTCTCTCTCTAAAACTTAATGTTTAAGAAAGTTCCTCTCTAAAAAATTTTAAGATGCTCTCTCTAAAACATTAAATTTGAGATAGTTTCTCTCTCTTAAAAATTTGATACAGTTTCTCTTTCTAAAAACTTTAATGTATTTTTCACTCTTAAAACTTTTATGCACTTTCTTTCTCTACAAATTGACGCGTGGAAAGAGCTGAGCGATGCTGCTTGTCCTAATTCAATATGCTCTCTCTATCTCTCACTCGATTTATGTATTATCTGGATTGCCGGCACCAGTTTCGAGGTTGCCTTTCCCCACTTTTTCATTCATTTTCATAAGGACCCGGTTTCTATGCAGCCATGCCTGCACATGTAGAAATTCAGTCCTATTAATAGATCTATTATTTAGATGGATTTTGGACTTAAGTTTTAAGGACATGTAATCACTAACATAGAGATCATGAATATGAAAAAATAAGTAAATTTTAAAAACTAAAAATAATAATTCTAGTAAGAAAACATTCGAACCGTTAGTTTCCATTGTTTTTAGATAGAACACCTACTTGTATCCATCTTTAAGATGGATGCTTTACATTTTTTGGACTGCATTAATAGTTATGCAGTCCAGCCCGCCTGAAATAATATTTATTTTCATAAACTCGATCTCCAAATTTTTATTAATGAATTTATATAAAACTTTCGATATTTTGACATCATTGGACTAGCTTTACGTATTTGTGCTTAGTGAAAGACAAGAAGTACTTTGTGTTTTTGTTTAGGGAGAGAAACATGTTTGTATTTAGAGCAGAACACGTCTAGCAGGATGCGATGGCCTTTATTATAATTGACTTGAGGCAAAAAAAAAAAAAATTCGAGGTCAACTAGGTGATAGGGAAGGCCAAATTTCTTTCTCCAAGTTGGTACCTAATTTGCACCCATGCATGCATATTGCTGTGCACTCATATAGAAAACAAATCTACACATGCACAGGCACACAAATTAGATCGGGTCAACAGCCTTTAACTGGACAAGGCTTGCCCCTCATAAGGTTGTATAGGACCAAGACCTAGACCTAAACCTGACCCACTAAGTCAAATTTTTAAATTTGAACTTGGGGACCTACCGGATCTAACGATTGGTTTGGACCTGGAACTGTGATGGGTTGGTCTCCCATCAACAAGGGGTCAGGGACTAATTCAATGAGCTTATAGGAGACATTTGCTTCCTTAAGGCAAATATTCATAGAAAAAAGCTGAAATTTTTCTTTGACTATTTAATAATGCATAATTGTTTCATGCAGGTTGGACCACATTTCTACACTATGGGTCCAGAAGTATAAAGCATACATCTTAAAGATGGATGCAAATAGGCGGTCCATCTAATAACAATTTTAACTAACAGTCTAAATGTTTTTTTAATACAATTACTATTTTTAGTTTTCTAAATTTATTTATTTTTTCATATTCATGATCTCCGTGTTAAAGGTTATAAATTCCCTAAAAATTAAAATCAAATTATATTTAAAAAATATATTTATTGCCAAACCTACATTTCTATAATATGCAGACTAGCCGCATGCTAACCACATCCTTTAATAATAATAGACATATTTCTAAAGCAAGGTAGTGTGGTCGTTGGGCAAAGATCTTTACCATTCTCATCTAAGCATGGGATAAAGGGTTTACCATTCTCAGCATGGGATAATGGGTGTGTTAGATCTTGCAACGAACACTATTGTCTTTTGCCCGGAACCAGAAACTACCATCCTTGCCTCTAAAGGTAAATAACGTTTTGGACCATCACCCAATAGACTGCCGTACTTGTTCTTATTAGAAAGTATTGAAAGTATCAAAGTTTCGAGATAGTGACGTTCGATTTATTTATGTATTTATTTTTATCTTTAGTAATTTAAAGATACTGACGTTAATTATTACTTACAAGACTCTCTAACCATTTTTCTAGGAAAAGGTTTTTTTTAAAGTTGAGTGACTTACAAGATCGGTTAACCCACTTTTTTTTCTTTTTTTTTTTTTATGTCAGAGTTACACCTTGGTCTCTGGATAGAATCCTCGATCCAAATTTTAATTAATTTATTAATTTAAATTTTTTTTTGTTAGTATGCCAATGCTTCAAGCTTTATGTCAGTGCACTACTAACGAAAACTAAAAAAGAAAAAAGAAATAAAATTCTGTTTTAGGTAATTTTGAAACGAGAGACAATTTTGGGAAAAAAAAACAAACCGGTTAAGACATTTGTAATTTTCACATGTAAATAAAGCATTTCATGTATTAAAAAAATTTTAGGGTCCGCATGTAAATCACTCTTACAAGTTTATAGAATCCTTGTACACAAACGATGCATATAAGACAAGCATCAGTGTGGCTTAGGGTATTATCTCAAAGACTTGATGAGAAGAGTATAGAGAGAGAGAGGGAGAAAATGGAGTTGGTGTGGAAGTATGAATTGCAATATACTGGGTTGTTCCCAAATTCATCCAAACAACCTACCAACTCCTCCCTTCTACGTTTTGAAACTCATTGGTTGCTTTTGCCGCGTCTTCTTTTTCTTCTCTCTTGAGATCAAATAAAGTAGGAATAGTAACCTTGCATTCACCCCTTCTCTCATATCCAATCCAATACAGTTCCTTGTTGGCCGAGGAAGAATGTATAATATGAAGGGAGCTTATTTCATCTTACTTTCTGCCCTTTTCATTGCTTTCTTATCCATAACACTAATTAAATACTCCCACATAGCCTTTCTGGGTAATTCTTACCACGATCCCATTACTCAAATTTCAACCAATTTCCTTTTAGGCATATTCGACATAGACACTTATCACCACCACCACCACCAGAAACCACAAGTACAATCAGTATGTGATGACTTCTTGCCCCCAGACTTTTCACCGTCTGGTGGTGAGAATGGCTCTACCATCATTTGTGTCGACCGAAATGGATGCTGCAATTTCACAACAGTGCGATCTGCTATTGATGCTGTTGGGACTCTTCAGCAGAAAAGAACAATAATATGGATCAATAAGGGCATATACTTGTAAGTCAGGCTCTTTGATGACAGGTTACTGTTATATCATTCTAAATTGTGTTTTGTCTTAGTGATATTCCATATGATAAGAAGCATTAGCATTGCTGTTATAATTTATCATTTTAGAGGAACCTTTATAAAGAGTTGATCTGGACTCCATGCTGGTTTCACCATCCTTGCTGGTTTTGTAAGCCATATCATATCCCATGCAAGCAAGCCTTTCAAGGATCCCTTGAACCTGACTGCTAAGCTCTATGAGGGTTGATTTTAGATAACAAAGATCGATAAAAACTAGAAAAGAGACCCTCTAGTAGTAGGCCGTCGTAACACTAATGCATTATGAGTTTGGGCCAATGTATCTAGATTGGACTAACTATCTAACCGAGAAGGGTTTGTTCTGGTCAAAACTGGTCATACTACTAATCGAACCAATTGCAGCAAATTTTAGAAAAAATGAAGACAGATTGATATAATTCATTGTATAAAATTTTTTTCCAAACTTCATTTAGTTGTAGAACTTGTTAAATCCAGTTGGTCTTACCAATCAAAATCGGCCAAAATATTAATTTTGGATAGTTTTCAAACAAGCCCCCAAAGTTTAACTGATACCGGTACCGATCGTCAAGACGCAGTGTTAGTCAAAGGATGTTGGTGCATATGTTATAGTTTGGGTTCTCCAGGAAGTTAGGCTAACTGATATAAGATTAGATCTTTTCTTTAAAAACCAATTGTTTATTTAGTATGAGAACTAAACCACATATGCAAATGTCAACACTATAATCAATTAATCCAATGCCCAAATATCGTTCCACATATGCAAATATCAACACTATAACCAATTAATCCAATGCCCAAATATCGTTTGAAAACCAATTTCCGGAAAACCAATTCATACGACTTAATGAATTCTATTTTATGTGCGACAATATTTTGAAAGCAATAAGGGCAACCACTTGAAAATAAATGAACAAAGCTTCTTCATGGTAATCCATTCTCTCCATGTAAGATAACGGAGAGAACAGATTATCCTGTGTATGACATCCATGCATAGTCTCTAATGGAAAAACATAGAGAACTAAACGCACTCCCAATGCTACCTACTATTCCTAATTTATGACCACCTTATTAAAAAGTGATTCTCAACATCATCATGGCCATCACCCAGACCTTGTCATCTAATGCTTTTTATTGTATTAGTCTACGTGGTCAGGATAGTAGAATACCACAATATGACGTCTTGAATTTTATTCTTACTATAATATGATGTCTTGAATTTCTCCCACACTTTCTCCCTCCCAAGGTTCTCTCCTCACCCTCTCCCACTCTCTCTCCTTTACTCTCTCTCCCTCTTGTTCCCTCACCATCACTCTCAATCCTTTACTCTCTCTCCCTCTTGTTCCCTTAACCTCTCTCTCCTACTATCTACTTTGTTCTCTCTCCTTTTTCACATACGCTACTCTGTCTCTCTCCTTTCACTCTCTCACTGTCTCTCCTCTCCTTTGCTCTCTCCTCTTGTTTTTCCAATCTTTCTCCACCACTCTCCCATACTCTCTACTCTGGTTCTCTCATCTCACTCCCCCACTCTCTCCTAAGCTATCTCTCTTCTCTCACTCTCCCACTCTCTCTCCTTCCCTTCTCCATCTCTCTTCCATTGGCTCTCACTTCTCTCTTTTCCACTTTGTCTCTATTTCTCTCGCTCTGTTCTTTCTTTCTCCTTTATATGCTCTGTGAAGGAGGTAGAGAGAGCCCTAGAGAAAGAGATTGAAAGAGAGAGATCAAGAGGAAGAGAGCAGAGAAATACAAATCTAGCGAGAGATCAACAGATTTTCATTAAAGGGAGAGAGAGAAGCAAAGAGAGAGGAGTGGGACCTAGAGAGAAAGATAGAATTCGATTGACCTAGAGACACAGAGCATAACAACGATATGGGGAAAGAAAGACCTAGAGAGATAGAGCAGATAGAATGAGGAGAGAGCCTTGAGAAAGAGACACTGAGAGCCTACCTGAGCTTGAGGCGTGAGACAAATAGAGAGAGAGATACTTCCAGCATACTTGAGCTTGAGAATTGAGATGACAGAAAGAGACAATGGTGAAACTCGAGGAGAGAGAGACGCAGAGAAAATCAAGTAAACAGGAACTTGAGATTTGAGATGGTAAAGAGAGATGGAGTTCAAAGAGAAAGAAGGAAGGCAAGGGAATAGGAGATAGTGAGGGAAAGAGAAATTTTAAGAAGATAGATTGCGGAAAGCGAAGAGAAGACTCAGAGAGTGCACGAGAGAGAAAGGGCTTTTGTTCCTCTGCCTAAAACTTGCTTCAAATCCCCACCATCCACTTAATAATGACAATACTGGCAATAATTTTTAAATTTCATAAAATATAAAATATATTTATGTGTGGGTTGTGGTTTTTATAGAGCCAAGGCTCTAAACAATCAAACTAAAGCCCACCTTCAAATAGTATTGACAAATGTGGTTTCAATACTGGAAATATTTGTGATAATCTTAAAATATATTCTCAGCTTTAATTATAAAATTTAAAGCTTCAAAAATAGTGTAGATCAAGCAGATCTATGAAAAATTGAAAATTTTGAAAATTGACAGTCCAAAAATGTGCTACAAGATGCACTATTTTCAAAACTTCAAATTTATTTTTTTCTCGTGTCAATCCATCTTGATGTCGAGATGATCAATTTGAAGATATTTGGGCATCAAAATAACCTTATCTAGTGAAATTTTTTAGATTGTTTAGAGCCTCGGCTCTATATAAACTTTTTCCTTATGTAAATATCCATATTTATTATCCATCGGACGCGGTTAGCATGTGGGCCATGGACTCACTTGTAGAAATGTGGGCCCTTTAATAATTTATTTATGAAATAAAATTTGATCCTATTTTTTAGAGAATATGTAATCTTAAACGTAGAGATTATTAATCTGTAAAAATAAATAATTTTTAAAAATTAGAAATGACTTTTTTTTGGAGAAAATATTTAAATTGTTGATTTTACTTTTTTTCTTTTTGGAGGACTACTACTTAGGGGACTTTGTTTTGGTGGACAGTATACATCTCTGGCCCGCATAGTAACAGGTGTAGGCTTGGCCTCACCAAACAATTTTCTTTATCTATCACCATCTCTCACCAAATAAGTTAAGGGAAAGTATACAATGAGACCATTTACTTTTAATACAAGATGGTCAAAATTAATCTTGAGCATTGGATGTGATATTGGATGGCTGCATTTATTATATTGACAAAGATCAAAGTTCAATAGAAATTTTCCTGAATTTTGTGACACTCCAAAGCCATCAGATTTCACATCGGAGGGTTAGAAGCGATTGTGACCTCGTTATACCAAAAGTAAATATTTTCATTGTATATAATCCCATAAGTTAATAATATTATTTATAAATAATTATTTTTTTGTCATCCAGCAGAAGGAACTGAACTTCAAAATCAAGGTGATCCCATGTGTATCATCTTTCAGAAGTAGGGTTGCCATATTTATCATTTTTGTCAATACTATTTGTCGTCTTCCATGTTGTCCTATGGGCCCATACTTTTTATGCCGTCCTAAAATTTATTTCTTCTTCTTCTTTTGGGGATTCAAATTCATCTTAGCACCCGATTTTATGCTCCCCATCCGCATTTTAGGTGAAATAGTGAAACGGTAAGGTCATTTATCTTTGTTACAGGAGGTCACAACTACTCATAGGTGTCAAATATGATATATGATAACTTGTGGGATATGTAGAAGAAACCGAAAATTTTTCTTTTGGATTTTGAGTTTGATCAATAGGACACTGCAACGCTACGTGGGCATTGGTTGATTGCATCCTCATTGTAACAAATGTATATAATCTTATTGTATATTTTCCATAACAAAAGTGTAGGGAAAAACTTCAAGGTATCAACGTCATATTGTAGGTGTACGGTGCATCTCAAAAATCGATTTGAAACAGTTGTCCGAACGTTGAAAACTCCTACAGTTGATCATCTAGACCTCAAGAAGTATGGATACATGAGATGACCAAAAAAAAAAAAGATAATTTCAAGTCTTAATTTGATCACCTTGTTACACTCCCCAAAATAGCTATTTCTCCTTGGATCCATACTCGTGATTTGGTGGCTTCCTAAAGGGTTTCATTTCATCATGTATGTAGATAAACAAATAAATTAGCTGATAAGCTAAGAGGAGTGCCGCTCTTTCTTCTACTGTGATTTCTGATGATGTAACTTCACTGCTGTAATTTGATCCTTTTATTATAGTTCATGAATATTGTATAAACAAAAGAAACAAAAAAACAAAAACAAAAACAAAAACAAAAAAACAAAAACAAAAACAAAAAAAAAACAAAATTATTGTCAGCAAAATCATTGAATGTGTCAAAATTTCATAGGGGCAAAAACAAAAACTCGTTAGGAAATATTATTAGATATTGTGTTATCGAGATAAGTACGCTCTGTTTATGCAAGTTTCATTATTTGCAAGTACCAATGCTAACTTATCGTAGTAGTTAATTAACTTTCATAGTAATATTATTCATCATATGATTTGCACAGCGAGAAGATCACAGTCCCAAGGATCAAACCCAATATTACATTATTGGGGCAAGGAATGGAAAGGACAGCGATTGTTTGGAATGATACAGCCAACTCCTCCCACGGAACATTTTACTCTGCTTCCGTTTCCGTATTCGCATCTAATTTCATTGCCACAAATATTAGCTTCATGGTGAGCCAGCTTCCTCATAAATATTACTATGCACCACACTCGCATTTTAACCTAAGGTTTTGGTTTGACTATGGTTGCATTCCGCCTTAACTCCAATACATAGTTTCGGGACAATGCATTACTATGTTACTTTGAATTAGATGTTAATATCTATTTGTGACACGGTATAAAAAATGTTATGAAAGGTCCATAAAATATATGTCTACATATATGCATGCATCTATTGTTGACATGACTATGAGGCCTTACATGATTTAGCCTACAATTGTCGGTTTGGAGGAATCTCATTATCTATAATTCTCTCCAATATTCATATGGCCCAACGTTCATATGGATGCATTGAATGAATATCCGTGAGATCAAGGACGATTTAGCAGGCTTGGAGGAATCTCATTATTCATAATTATCTCCAATGTTCGTATCGTTTAATATTCATATGGATACGTTGGATGAATAACCTTGAGATCAGGAAGACCTTTTGTCAGATACCCGTTCGAGAAACATAACCGTTAGCTCTTCTTCTCCCAATAAAAATAGGAAGCCAGACAGAGGAAGACACAACAAGAAAAAGGTGTACAGTTCTCCTCTTTTTATGAAAGTGAAAGGATCCAAAATCCAGGCTTTGTGATCACCAGCCTCATGACATCCCGCTCTGTTTTCGGGTCTAGTCTCATCCATGCTCCACTAATTTTTACTAACACTGGTATCAGAGCAATCCAGGTTCTATCTTCCTTTTTTGTTTAACTTTGAATTTTTTTTTAACGATAGAGCTTATATGATTTGATTGTTACGATTTATGCCTAATTTTGTGTAAAATCCTTTTTTGTTTTCCATCTTCCTTTTTTGTTTTATTTGAATTTTTTTTTAACGGTAGAGCTTATATGATTTGATTGTTACAATTTATGCCCAATTTTGTGTATAATCTTTTTTTTGGTTCACAGTGTCAATTAAAGGATAAGTATCGTGCCCTCCCTTTGTATTAATCAATTTCAAATCACCTCTATCCCATTTTGGTTTTTAGGTTTGGTTTAGTGTTTGAATTGTGAGGGTGATTTAACTCGGGTTACGGTTTAGTCGTTTACTTTATTTGATAAATTGTGATATGGATATATGATAGAGTGATATGGGATTGACTACCTAGTTTTAGTTGATCACTTTTATTTACTTGCAACATTCACAAAAATAGTGGTTTAGTGCTTATTGAACTCTCTGTCTCTCCCCCTCTCTCTCTATAATCTCGACTTGCCACTGCTTTGCTTCTGGATCTACTCCCCATCTCCCTCTGCCAGACGGTTTCTCTCTCCTCTTGGATAGGCTACGCAATGGGCTTATTCTGAATGATAGTTCTATAAAAGTTTTTCTTCGATTTCAATAGTAATCAGTTTCTCCATCCATGGAGCCATAAGGTAGAGAGAGAAATGAAAGAGTAATACCAGAAATGTTACAGTTCCATCTCTCTCTCCCTTTTGATCTAAGTCCTTCACAAATCCACGAAACTCTCCCTCCCACGGTCCTTTAGCCGGAAAATTAGTTCTTGAACTTGACGTTCTCCTGAAATATGGCTAACCAGCAAGCCATCTCGTTATCGGCACTAGCCGATGATTTGGCCTCTTGATATGGGTCTTGGTCGGTGGAAATTGATTGCCAACCAACAACCCAAGTGGGCAACCGCCACATGTCAGTTCCCCCACACCTCGTAATACACCTTCCGGCTCCACTGAGAAGTAGAAAGTGTCCCACGTGCATGATTTTGTCCTTAAGAAGCCGAAAATTACCCAATTTCTAGCAACTAAGTTCCTACATTCATTCCTTCACCAAAACGTAAGGATCACTTCCAGAGTTTACCCAAAATGCGCTCTCAAACCCACAAACCCTTGCACCCTTTTCAGAAAAAAAATAAAATAAATAAATAAATAAATAAACGGAAGGGTGTTGAATACATACTTTGCTATTTTGTTACCTTATAATGCTGAAATTTCTATTAAAAAAAAATTATGACAGAATTATTTTGCTCATTTTGGTATTGTTGATTTTTTTTTAATACAATTAATGCACTTATTGCTTTCGTGTAATATAGTAATTTATTTGTCTTCCAAAGTAAATCACATACTTGATTTTTGTTGTTTTATTATAAGAGCTCACACACCCTTGATATTTCTCTTGTACCCAAAATAAATAATATAAAGAAGAAATTTTTTATTATCTTTGATAATTGCAATATTATTTATCGATTGAGAGATTGCCTATTTCAATTTTTTTTAAGCATCACTTAATAACTGATATTGTTTATGAAATAATTGTAGCTCTCTCTGTACAAGCATTGACCACGTATTAAATTTTTGGTGTCTTGTTTAGCTTCTTAAGAACTTACAAAGTATTAGGTTGCTCACACAAAATTTAGCAAATGGCCAGTAGAATTGTAATGGCTGAACTTTCAAGAGCTGAAAAATTAAATGGAACCAATTTTGGCATGTGGAAAAGGAAGATGGAATATCTCCTCATCCAAGATAGAATCATATGTGTACTTAGAGAAGATCCACCAGTGGTTGGTGATAAACCAACTGAAGAAGAAAAAAAAAAGTTAGAAAAGTTTTAGAAGATGACCTCATAGCAAAAACTTTTATGTTAACTTTTATACAAGATGACCTTATTAAGGTTTTCAAGTACTATGAAACATCTAGAAAAATGCTAGAGGGAACAAAAACAAAATATGACTCAACCTCCGAAACACACCTCCAATTGCTATTAGAGCAATATAACTCATTTAAAATGAAATAGGTTAATAATGTAGTGGAAAATGTAAACAAAATGCTTGATATGGCTAAGAACTTAGCCATTGCTGATAATGAAGTCCTTGAGCGCATGCAAGTTTCCACAATCTTAAATAGCCTTCCACTTTAATGAAAGATGGTAACAATTACACTTAGATTGAATGTCAAATCTCTTACATTAGAGGACCTACCTATGCGACTAGCCTTAGAGCAAGAGCACATGAATATATATAAAAGGAGTGAGTTCATGCTTACTCAAGGACCTCCTAAATTTATCCAATACAAGCCTAACAACCAGAAATTTCAAAAAAAGTTTATTAAGAGGAACAATAGGTTTAAAAACAAAGGAACTAAGCCCTACAACCACGAAACTAAACAAGGACCGCCAAAATGCTTCTTATGTAATCAGCCAGGTTACTTCAAGAACCACTGCCCACATAATAGAAACCCGCAAAATCCAAATAATAGCGATACTGGAAGCAAGAGGCGTAAAGTTGTCTATGTGGTTTCTGAGTGTCTTATGGCAAACCATGACATCAAAGGATAATGGGTAGACTCAGGCATTAATCGGCATATTACAAGCTCAAAAGGCATCTTCGATGACTTCAAAGAAATAAAAGTTGGGGAGAAACGCATCTACATGAGAAACAACACCTATTCTGATGTATTAGGTGTAGGAACTTGTAGGTTACATGTAGAGATGTATATTTTGTTCATTGTATGAGACGAAACATTGTATCTATCCTCTTGCTCATTAGAAAGGGCTTTAAAGTCTGATTTCGATCATTCAAAGTATCAATCAAAAAGCGTGGACAAATTTATGCTTGGGGACACTTCGTTGAAGACCACAACTTGTTCATTCTTCATGTAAATGAGAAAGATGATAATAAAATTTTAACTTATTCTGGTTACGTTGATAGTGTAATTCTTGTTGACATATATACTTGGCACCTTAGGCTTGGCCACATAGGAAAAGACAAAATAAATAAGTTAATAAGGAAAGGTCTTATTCCAAATCTAAATAATGTGAAATTTTCAACCTGTCAACATTGGTTGTCAAGAAAAATGACTAGAAAAACATTCAATAAAGGGTAGAGAGCTAATGAGTTATTAAATGTGGTTCACTCAAACATTTATGAGCCCCTTAAAGTTAAAACTAATAGAGGGATGTTATACTACATCACTTTTATTGATGATTTTTCTAGATTTGTATATGTTTATCTCATACACCATAAATTAGAAGCTCTAGAAAAATTTAAAATATATAAAAAGGAAGTAGAAAGCCAATTGGATAGGAACATCAAAGTTCTTAGAACTGATAGGGGAGGTGAACACACATCTGAAGCTTTCAATACTAATTGTCAAGAATATGGTAGTCAAAGACATACCACTATGCCTAGCAAAATGGAATATCTGAAAGGTGTAATAGAACCCTCTTAAAAATGACTAGGTCCATGATTGCCCATGCTAATCTATCTAAGACCTTTTGGGGATAAGCAATAAGCACATCCATGTATATTCTTAATAGGGTTCCAATAAGGGAATAGATTCTAACCCTTATGAATTGTGGACAGGTAGAAAACCTTATCTATCCAACTTAAAGAAGTGGGGGTCAATTGTGATTGTTTTAATTCCATATCAGCACAGAAATATTTTAGAAAAAAAAACTCTAATTTGTAATTTTATAGGATACCTCGAAGGATCAAAGGGATTTCGATTTTATCTAAAGTTAAGGGACTCATTAAAAGCAAAGATGCTAAGTTTCTAGAAAATTTTATTGAAGAAATATACCTGTAGTGGATAATAATAATCCACTTAATATCCTAAATGACTTAGAACCACTACCTACAATGGATATGAATAACCCTGATCAACATGATGATGTTGAAGTACCCACAGTCAAAGAGGTTAAGAGCTCCTCCATCATACCTTGATGATTTCTATGTCTATATGAGTTAAGAGATAAACAACTTTATTGATCTAAATGAAATCCATAACACTTTTAACTTCAATGATGCTATGAAGTCACAATAATCTCAAGAATAAACTAATACCACAAGGGAAGAATTAAATTATATAGAGAAAAATAAAGGTTGGTATCTATGTGATTTGTTATCATATAAGAAACTTATAGCTTCTAAATGGTTACTTAAAAAAAAGTTAAAATCTGATAGATCAATTAGAAATTTAAAGCTAGGTTAATAGAAAAGGGTTTTACACAACGAAAGG